TAGAAAAAAGTTTTCAGTTCATTTCAAAGGTATACCTTTGAAATGAACTGAAAACTTTTTTCTAAATCAGTTTTCAACGCTGATTCAGAAAAAAATAGTTTCAACCTTCCATCTTGTAATAAAACTTGAAAAACGTCAATTCTACGATAAAGGTCGTTTTTTTCGATTTTTTAGACCTTTACAGTATTTCGAGTTTTTCTCCATGAAAAAAGGACTTTTAAATATTTTAAAGGTGATATTCGTGATCAGCTGAACAAGACGAATCAGAAAATGTATGACAAATTGAAAAATAAAACCCATTCGAATTTTGCATTAGCTGTTTGGATTACATCTATATTAACAGAAGATTATCCCCGTCATATAGCTAACATGCATGTCTTAATGCACTTTTTAGTACCTAAAGACTCTTACTCCCAACTTTATCAGATTTTTCCTATACCTATATTCACGTCTTCAGAAAAAGGTTGTTTACTCAGCAATATACCGAAATACATAGCTATTGATGACGCAGATAACGTAGTAGAATTTGAAGGCGATCTTGATAAAGATCAATGTACTTCGGGCAATGGTTTTACAATTTGTCGAGAGGTACTAGAACCGAGAACATGTATCCAGAATATAAGTCTGAGGGAATTAATAGAAGACGACACGTTTTTATCTTGCACAGGAAGTATAACGAGAATAATGTCACCATATACTAAACCTATAGGGATAAGATCAATGACAGGCTCAACTTATCTACCAATGAAATGTATTAGAGATACAATATACGAGCAGATAAAAGATGTAAGTATAATACAGTTAAAATGTGGAGAAAGCCTCGTATGCCCGAACCATAAAATTTCGATGCAGATAAATGTGAAGAAAACGGCACCTATATCTTGAAAATTAGGCAAAGGTATGCCTTAAAGTTTGATGACATTCGAAGCCTTAACACATCTGAAATTTTGAAACTAAAGCCAATGAATGACACAGGACTTAATGATCACCCGTAGTACAATTTCACGAAGCACAGAGCATAATAATAAACACACACACAAAAACAGTAGCATTTCTCACAGGGATAATAGTAGGGCTAAGAATCATACTGATAGGAGGGACAGTGACATTTTACTTTCGATGTAAAATGCATCAGAAACAGAATGAAATATTCAGGAGCGCCATATTATTCAAAAATAATGATAGTGTAATAAATTTATCATCGAAGCTCCCACAATACCAATCTCAACCATTATGTATGACAAGTGAATTAAAAATTAAAAATATTAAAAAATTCAATTACAAATGACACTAAAAAACGAACGTGGAAAAACAGACAATAATTTCTAAAAATGATAATTTTTGTTTTGAAATGTACAATTTATTGTATATCAAATAGGGCCTTCTACTGCACATAGCTTTTCTATATATACTAACAACACATGCACCAACTCACTTACCTGTATATATATAAAAATCGAATTGTTAAAACCGAATTGTTAATATTAAAGAATTTATAATTTTATGTGAGCTGCGACGGTATATATAGGGAAATTCTGTAGGCAGAAAAAAGAATTTGTAAACCGTCGTAGACGACAAAGTAGAAATCATACAATCCAACTCTAACAATGCACCTCAAAAAAACAAGACACTTCAGTTACAGAAAACATAATAATTTTAATTGATATATACATAACTGATATATTGATCTACAATAATAATAATAAAAACAAAAAATAATAAAATAACAAAAATTTGTTTGTTTGTTTGTTTTCCTTCGAGGGTGGTGGAGTATGATACTGTATCAACACTGAAAATACATACATATAAAATTAGTCAAAACATTTGATATTTTCCAAGAAGTAGCTTTGTTACCTTCAATACATTACCTCGTACAAAAATACAACCTCTACAGGTTCTTGTCTTATATGGACACTGGTGGTGGCCAGGATATTCTGCCACATTGTCTACCACGTTTTGACGGATCCGAGCACGTGCCTTTTTGGCCATATTTTCCTTCTTGATCCGAAGGATCTTTTCATCGATCTCACGTGACTGCCTCGCAGCTCTCTGAATTTTCGCTTTCGATGGCATCTCTTTTTGTAATTAGCCATACAGACTAAAAATAGAAAATAAAAAGAAATTAGAAGTACAGAGTAATAGACGTATTCTTAATGTATTTTTTCACGTAATTTTAGATGTCTATTTTACGTCTTATTGCCATACTTACGATAATGGGAACTGGTATTAGTATAGAGACAACATTGAGAAATCAGATGAAAACAGGTAAAGAACGAATTGTACGTGGTGCATCAGACGTGACATTTATATTAAAAGACAGATATCGATCAGTGGAACGGCTGCAAAGTTTCGCCATAAGCATACCTTTGACTCAACATTTCTGCCATCTCATCCCACTAGATGTCTAAAAGCATACCCGTATACACTACGTACAGAAAATCACTATTGCACATCACACTACCAGCTGAAACACTTAGACAGAACGTATATAAAGCGATGCTGCAGCAACCAACGAAAGAAGAAATACCAGTCAGATCTAAAAGAGCACTACCTTTAATATTTGGAGCAATTTCTATGCTGACTGGTATCTTTTCGACAGCAAGTAGAATATTCGCATCATACTGTAAAGAAGGAATAGAAACCGTGCTGCGAGCAGTAGACAGAAAGATAGAACAACTAAAAGCCGACTACAAGAAGAGGTTAATGTACAGAAAAATAATGACAGAAGACGGAAAAGATGTTTTCGTAAAGAAACATATCACGGAAATAAAAACCCTCAAAAACAAAGAACTTGGTTTACAAGAACAAATTCACAAGATAGAAACAAAAGTTTATAGATGCCGCCGGCATCATTGAACGTAATGGACATCCGGATAATCGCGTCTAGTACACTGCCGTCGTATGATGAGTACGTTATAAGATGCGATAGTATCATAGCTAAAACCAAATTAGAATTGACAGAGGTAGTGCTAAGAGTTAGAGAAGAAGAAATACAACAGATTAAGAATGACATATGGGAAAAGGTAACCACTTTCCTGATCCTGAAGAAGCATCAAACCAACGAGAAATTAATAGGAGAAATATTTGTAAAAATGGAAAATGAAACAAAAGAAAGAATGAAAAAACGGCAACGTTTTTTAGAAAAAAAAGCCGGAGAAATGAAAAAGCGTTAAAAAAAGAAGAGAGAGTGCATTTACGTAGGCTTTCTACTATCCCCTTTCCACCGCAAGTCAATAATAAATTTCTAGACATGAAAAATGAAGCAAAATACATGTTAGACAGTGGGTCTAAATTTGTCTTGTCAGCGTTACATGCAGCATTACAACGACTTGAAAAAGAACGCAGTGTAATGAATGATACCTTGACTAAAAAATTCAACAGAATAGCAGGACAACCAGAAACGAAAAGAAGATGGATGGTAGATGAATTTACTAAAAAAATCAATCATGAATTAGGAATTAAAACAGAAGAAATCGTAGATTTGCGAGTGGAAAAACATCTTTACCAAAGTTAATGAGACTTTTTCGAATTTTGGACTTTTGACGTTGACCATTGATTTGAAAAGAAAAATATCAAAATTCCGGCTCTGTCAGCCGCTAGCCAGATGTCGTTTCGTCAATTTGAGCCCAGCCTGAGCTCTCCACAACGTTTAGTTACTGGAAAATCTGGGAGCTACAAACAGCCTCATTTTAGTCACTGTTGTGGCGGCATCTCATAAACCATGCGTGATGCAGTCAGACAAAAAATTTCGTCACCATACTTTCACAATATCAGCGTCGCCTAAAAGTATGATGAACTTCCGACTTATAGTTTCAGAAATACGTTTCTGACGGGGAGCGGGCGGGTGTAACGGTCTCCAAGCCCGTTACTATTCCTTTACTGTAATCTTCGAACTACAGCTGTTAGGCTTGAAGTTATAACTAGTAAAAAGAGGATAGCAGATAAAAATATGTAAAACGGCTGCAGTTAGTTTTCTCTGCGTATTTCACAACTGTTTAAATTGTACGCCATAGTTGTTGATGAAATCAGTTTTTCAAATTACATCACCTCAGACTTTCGTGTTCTAAAAATATACGCGCTGGAAATACGAAAGAAAGAAATTTTGTAGAATAAAAGTCTACTTTCAATACTCTTTATTAGGATTTTTCTCGGCTTCATTTCAATTTTGACGAGTTATAGGTGGCGCTAATACGTAAAAGATAAGAAAATTTTCGGGCTTTATGTTCTTTCAATTTCGCATTGATGTTATCCGTGGCTAAAGATCCTTGTCTAAGTCCTTTTAACCGTTTTCTATGTTAAACATTTTTTCTTTGACGAAAACTAACCATCCCGAGGCCCCGACTACGCCATTAATTTCAGATCTGAGAAATAGAATATTTTGAAGGCCCGTGAATATTACGGGCGGATTGAGCTCGGCGACATTACGTAGTGCAGCCAAAACGAACTAAAAATATTCTTAAAAACGAATAAGAGATCAAAAATACCTAATTTCCACTGTTTTCTTTACAGTAGAAATACTCAGTGGAATGTGTGTTGCAGATGATTATGTCGCAATTTGCGACACATGCGATACATTATTTTTTAGTGTGAATTGGGCTTATTTCAAACTAGATGCCTGACTATACTATTGAATATGATGATGAAGATCAATTAAATATTCTTAAATTAACATTATGTAATGACAATGATTACGATTTAAAAGATATGTATGATTATATGACACAAGAATATTTAAAAGATGAAATAAGTCACATATCATTGGGGACGACTTTGTTTGAAATAGGAATGTACGCCAAGGCAGAAAAATATTATAAACGTTTATTAAATAGTTTAGATGATCTTCTGATATCAACCAGCCTTATCCTCATTCCACTAACGATACTTCAACTGGTTGTTCAACTGAATTACCAGACTTGTATCTAACGACTTTGAAAAAGACGTCAGTTGGATGACATGGGCAAAACTTCATAATAAAACAGATATCCACAGAATCACTGGTTCAGTACCAAATTTATTAGAAGCTAATGATCAGCAGTGGAATAAATATCTTCTGCATACTTTTGTAACATCTGAACAACTTGGTTTTATTAAAGCATTAAAAGAATCATTAGGACTCGATCAGACTATCATTTAAATGGATTTCGAGGAAAATTTTTGATCGATATCCTAAATGAAACCCAATTAAAACATTGTTCCAAGAGTCAAGCATCCTTATTTGCCGTATATGTTGAAACAAAAGATCAAGTGAGCAGACTCTGGAAGTTTAGCATCAGTCTGTGATGCTTTGTCTGACCTTTAGCAGTAGAAACGAGTAAAAACTTTTCTGTTTAGACGTGCAGCCATAATCGCCATAATCTCAAATTACATGTCTCACGGTACGATGTTTCCTCATACTGTCTAGGGATTGATATCCGCTTTTATCGAAAAGATTTTGCTTTCCAAAAACAAAATTATTATACCTTACTGACGGCTGTGCTGGGAATATTAAAAACCATTTTCACATGCTAAATTTATGTTATCATTTCAACGATTTCGGTTTATTAGCTTCTTGGGCGGTTTTTCAGTACCTCCCAACGAAAGGAACCATGTGATGGCATAGGTGTTACAGCGAAATCTGCAGCTTATCTCCATTTAATGCCAGCTGGTGATGTAATGTAAACGTTTTTTCTCGGCACGGACCACAATATGTGCTGGACAATCTTTTCGACACTAGTCCTATTCAGTAGTAATGTCATGATTTGAAGAAACTTGACCATTATATAAGAAACCGTGGCACTCAACTTTAGCTCTATTTATGATGTTTTAAAATGTAGCCTGATTAAAGATA